TCAAGAGTTCTACCTAACTTATCTTCCAGCAAGTTTAGTGTTTCTGTCTTAACATTTATATCTTTAATCCACTTTGATCTTAGTTTAGTGCATGGTGATATGTATGGGTCTAGTTTTAATCTTTGGCAGGTTGAAATCCAGTTTTTCCAACACCATTTATTAAATAGGCTGTCTTTCCTCCAATGAGGATGGTTTGGGTCCTTTTTCAAAGATTAGGTGGCTGAGTACATCTGGAGTGGTTTCTGCATCTTCTAAGCTATCGCACTGATCCTTGGGTCTGTTTCTTTGCCTGTACCATGCTGTTTTTATCACAGTAGCTTTGTAGTATAGTTTCAAATTGGGGATTGTGATACTCCCAGCCCCCAGCCATGTCTCTGTTGCCTAGAATTGCTTTAGCTATTCTACGTCTCTTATGGTTCCAAATGAATTTTTGTATTGTTTTCTCTTGTTCTGTGAAGTTTATTGTTGGAATTTCTTTTTTTTTTTTGGTACCAGGTATCAAACTCAGGTCCTTGTGCTTGCACAGCAGGTGGTGAAACCACTGAGCTAAATCCCAGGCCCAAAATAAGCCTCTCATTTTTTTATTTTTTTATTTCCTGGTCACTAATTGGAATCTTATCTTCTATATTTGAAATTCTGTCCTCACATTAGCTCATTCTGCTGCATAAACCTTCAGCGGAGTTTGTAGTCTCCCAGAAAATCTGCTTGCCTCTGTTTTATGGATTCCATTTGTTCCCTATGTTGGGATTCCATTATGTTCATCAGCTCCTCTATTTTTTTATTTGTGTCTGCTCTAGATTTATTAATCATGTCTTGCACTATGGGCACAATCTCTGCTGTTATCTGAGAAGTTACTTCCAATTTCATTTTTTCCAGACCCTCGCTTCATTGCCAGTTCAGGGAGTCCAGGTTGTTGAGTATCAGATTGTTCCATCTATTTGCCCTTCGATGTTGCCTTAGGTGAACTAGAAGTCTGGTTTTGAGGCTTGTTTCTGTGTCTTCTCTTTTCAGTGTTATGGGGGAAGGGATGTGTGCTGCTGGCACCCATGTGGCTCACCTCTTTGGCACTGGGGTGGTGGTAAGGTGGCCCAGAAGGTTCACCTCCTCTGCATTGGGGGCATCTCTGCTCCTTGGTGCTGTGGGGAGTAGTATAGCAGCCTGGAAAGTTCACCTCCTCTGCACTGGGGGCAGATCTTCTCCTTGGCATGTTAGTGGTGGATTCAGTTAGTCCATGGTCGGCTATCTCAGCCTCTTCTCCAAACTAGCAAAGTTCATTGGTGGGAAAGAATGACTACTAGGCTCGTGAATTTTCCCTGTGAAATCAACTATTCTATTTTTAAATCTGTATCTACTCTATGTTCACTAACAATGTCATTCATTATGGTCATCTTGTCTTTAATTATCTGAGAAATTATTTGTAATTTGATTATTTTCTAGAATCTCATTCATCTGCTTTGTTACTCCCACTCTTACCATTTCAGATAGTTCAGGTGAGTGACTTTCAAATTGTTCTACCACACTGCCCTTTCCTTTTGCCTTTGGTGAGCTGGAAGTTTTGAGGTGCATCTTACTTCTGTGTCTTCTCAATTTCTATTTTTTCTAGCTTAGTTTCTGCATTGATGCTTGTAAATTGCTTATGGGAGGTAGCTTCATTGCTAGTATCAAGAACTCATTAGGAAGTAGCTACTTTTCTGAGATTTCTTCT